TATTATTGCCTTCATAGTAGATAGGATGCCTACCATCATGCTTCTAGTAAGTCTTAGAGGCAAAATTAGAAACAAATTCAGTATTCAAATGAACTCCATGTTTAGCATGCTGCTTTTCAACATATACTTTGCTGCCTTTGTCTATCTGAGAGTGAATAAATTGCCCCTTAGCCTTTGATTTCCTAGGCCCACATCATTCTCCCTTTAGCCTTACTTCTCAAGGCATGTGTTCAAATTCATGAATCAATTTTTTCACAATCATATTAAATATATTTCCACATTAGTCATGTTGTGAATAGAAGAATCATAACAGAAAGGAAAAACCACGAGAAAGAAAAAAAAGAGAGAGAGAAAAAAATATGCTTCAATCTGTATTCAGACTCCATAGTTCTTTCTCTGGATGTGTATAGCATTTTCCATCATGAGTCTTTTGGAATTGTCTTAGATCATTGCATTGCTGAGAAGAGCTAAGTCTATCAAAGTTTATCATCGCACAATATTGCTGTTACTGTGTACAATGTTCTCCTGATTCTACTCACTTCACTCAGCATCAGTTCATGTAAGTCTTTTCAGGTTTTTCTGAAATCTACCTGCTCATCATTTCTTATAGAACAATAGTATTCTATTACATCCATATATCACAACTTGTTCAGCCATTCCTCAATTGATGGGCATTCCCTTAATTTCCAATTCTTTGTCACTACAAAAAGATCTGCTACAAATATTTTTGTACATGTGGGTCTTTTTTCCCTTTTTTAAAATTCATGAAGTCTTTTCCTTCACTGGAAAGGTTTTAAGAAAATATTATCTTAGTTAATTGTATTCTAATATTAAGAACCATTGCTTGACCCCAGGAACCCACTCTCTTCTCCACCCAGAGGCTCCTCTGTTCCACATTCATACATATGGTTGGACTTGGTTCAGTCCTCCGAGATTGGCCTCTGATTTGGGATTGGGGAGCTCAGTTCTCTTTCATTGTATTCTCCAACACCTTGGGGACACATTATTTAAAACTTAGGTTTTGGCTGATCTATAGAGCATTCCCCAGAAAGGGGAATCAATAAGGCATTAAATGTATGTTCAATAGGACATGCATTGTTTCCTCAGCTGTTAAGTGACACAGTGAATGGAGTGTTGGGCCTGGAAGCAAGAAGACCTCATCCGGCATCAGACACTTACTAGCTGTAAGACCCTGGGCAAGTCACTTCACCCTGTTTGCCTCCTTATCTGCAAAATAAGTTTCCTTATCTGCAAAATGAACTGGAGAAGGAAATAGCAAACCAATCCAGTATCTTTGCCAAGAAAACCCCAAATGGAGTCACAGAGAGTTGGGCACCACTAAAAATGACTAATCAACCACAAAACACAAAAGACTTGAAGGTGCAAATTGACAGTAAGACATTAAATAAACAGCATTGCTGATTTCTGTTATTGATACTTATACCCATCAAAGCATGTTGTAATTTGTGGGATTACTAATTAGGCATTTTGTATTTCACCTCTGGTCTCTAATATCTCCCTCAGAGTCCACATCTTCCAACAAGCATGACTAGGAACTTGGACTTCTCCTCTTGTCAGTGGTTCTTTTCTCTGATGAAGATATTTCCTATGCTTCCAATTTATAGCAGAAAATAGAATAAAGCAGAAATTTAAAAAAAAAAAGATAAAGTCCCAGAGACCCAGATTCATCTCTTTGAATTGGTCTCCAATGACTGCCGCCCACATTAACCTACTTCTCTGGTAACTCCTTTTCCATTAGTTCCTGTAGCTAAGCTTGGAATCAGGAAGACCTGAGTTTAAATCCAGCCTCAGATACTCACTAGCTATGCAACCCTAGCCAAGTCATTTAACCACTGTTTGCCTCAGTTTCTTCATCTGTAAAATAGGGATAATAATAGCGCCTGTTTCCAAGGGTTATTGTGAGGATCAAATGAGATAATAATTATGAAGTGCTAACACAGTGCCTGGCACATAATAGTTGATATAAATATGTTAGCTGTATAACTAGTACTTTATTGTGTTATCCACTGAATGTTAGAGTGGGAATTCAGTTCAGCAATTTAACAGACCCGTAACATATAAGGCACCATGCTAGGCAAAAGAAATTTACATTTTAATGAGAATGTAACATCAGTTTATCAACATTTATTAAGCACCTGGTATACCAGGTTTTAATGAGAATGTAGCATCAGTTAATCAACAAATATTTATTAAGCACCTGCTATATACCAGGTACTCTGTTAGGCATTGGAGATGTTGTTTGTCCCTTGTTTTCTAAGAGGAACACTGACATCATGGGATGATGTCTTGACTTGCGTCTGAATTGGATTTAAGTGAGGCAGAGTTACACAAAATTGTCAGCCTCACTATCTCTTCCTGAGTCATCAACATTCAGGGGCAACACAAAAGTCAGGATGACTGGTGATGACCTAGGATGCAGTGGATGGCCCCAGGCATCTTCAGTGTCTGATGCCCCACAGTGCTACTTCATGCATGGACATTGGAACAAATTGTTCTCTTCTGTCCATTCTGCCAGGGAGGTCTTCACATACTTGGGGTAGACGTCCCCCTAATTCACCAATGGGTTTGAGGCCTATCAGTTACCCCCAACCTGGTTCAGCTCATCTGCTGAGATAGTTTACCAGGGTGTGGCTGTTGCACATGCTACAGCCTAAGAGTTGGGTGAATCAGGTGGACACCAAAGTTGATGAACAGCCCTGAAAATGGTTGGACAAGCCCCCACACCAGAGATGCTAGACCTCCTGAACATCCCATACACAGTAGAGATAAAAATACAATGAATGAAACAATCCCTCTATACATGGAGATTACCTTCTAGTAGTAGGGTGGGAGGATATAGATAGGTAAGCATATAAAGAATAGGTTCATAGATTTAGAGCTGGACAGGACCTTAGATACTATTGAGTCCATTCCCTTTATTTTACATATGAAGAAAGTGAGGTCCGTAAAGGTTAAGTGACTTGCCTAAGGTAACAGCTAATTAAGTATCTGGGTGAGATTTGAGCTAAGATCTTCCTGACACTAAGATGATTGCTCTGTCTGCTATATACTATGCTGCATCTGTCAATAGAAATCAAAACTACATTGTTAATTACAGATTAGTTTGTGATAAAGGGCACTTGATTTGGGCAGATTGGGAAAAGCTTCGTGTAGATCAGGCCTGCATAACCACAGACCCACAGGCCACTTGCGGCATGCCAAAAGATTTTGGGTAGCCTGAAAACATCCTCTACAATTTTTTTGTGGGCACCTGAAATCCTTAGGTGTGCCCTGTGGGCCGCAGATTGTGCAGGCTTGATGTAGATAGTGGTACTTGAGTTGTGTCTAGAAGGAAGAGAGGGAACTCACTGAGGTCAAGTGAGGATGGAATGCATTCCAGACTTGGGAAATGGCCAGTGCAAGGACATAGATATGGTCGATGAAGTGCTGTGTGTGAGGATCAGATTTTGTGGCATCTCAGAGTTAAGAGAGAAGGGTGGGAATAGAAGTAATATACAGTGAGCTTGGAAAGATAACTGGGGCTAGACTGAGATTGCCTTTAAAAGCCATACCAAAAAGTGTGTATTTGATGCTAGAGCCTTTACTGAAGATGTATTATTATGTTCTGGGGAAAAGGAAATAGTTTAGCTCTTTTAATTTACACATAAGTAAACTGAAGCCCAAAGAGTTTCATTTGCCCAAGGTCAAATAGCCAGTTACTGACAAGGTCAGGATTTAGAATGCATGCTTTTAGCCTATTTTTTATTTGACAGCACCTACTATACAATTTAGCACAATTTATATTGTTTTAGCCTCTAATTGCTTCCCATAGGCATGTTACTTATCCTTATCATCATGTAAGTCATAAACTTGTGGGCAGAGACCGTGTCTTATGCCTCTTTTATTGCCCTTGAAGTGTTCGGTAATGGCTAGTACCCCACCAAAAAATTGCTAGTTAATTGATTGTTTCCTCTCTTGATTAAGGGTTCAGTGCTGTTGAAGTGAGACCACTGCTGAGTTTTTTTTTCAACCTGTGTATGTTTTGTTCATGCTTTTTGGAAAAATTAAACAGCAGGTTGTTTTTTTTACCCTTGAATACTTTTTTGCGTTTGTGTGTGTGTGTGTGTGTGTGTGTGTGTGTGTGTGTGTGTGTGTGTATTTTTTCTCCAAAGTATTCTATTCCATGTTTTCTGTTAATTCTCTGTTCATTAAAGACTTTTTTTTAATGTGATTTCATTGGTGTAGAGAGGAAACTAACTTAAATAATGCAGTCTATAGTAATCTGTAATTTATGGTCTTAGTTGACTAGGGCCACATAGCCAGAATGTGTCAGAGTTAGAGATGTCAACCTAGATCTTCCTGACTCCCAGCTGGACTTTATCCAATACGCCATACTGCCTATCTAATCATTAAATTAGATTGATAGTGATAACTTGCCTGGGATGCTGTGCTTAATCATGACTCTGTCAATTTCATTAGTATACCAGAGGGTGATGCTTTCAGTTAATGTGCAGAAAATACATTGAACTTAATAGAGAATTAAACTTATATTGTCCAAGGGATGGAGGACAGACAATTGATAAGGACAATGAGCAGGAATTTAAACTGTAGCTGGAATCTCTAGGCATTTTCTATGGCTGAGAGGTAAGTAGAGTTGGTGGGGTAACTTTGTTTCTTTGTTTCTCTCTCTCTCTCTCTCTCTCTCTCTCTCTTTTTTGTCTGCTACAGAAACGTCAGCTTGGGGGCAGGGAGTAGGGAATGGAGGTAGGAGAAGAAATATATCCAGAGGACAACTATCAACTTTGAGCTGAGGTTAGACAGCTTGTCTCTTATATTTAAGTCATAAAGAAAAGATTAACATCAAGATAAAGTGGTGTGATATAAACCAAAAGGAAATGCTCACATTTACTGTATAAGAATCTGGATTTCAGGAAATTCATCCTAATTCACAAATTAACCTTTGCAAAACTGATGATGTGTTTATATCATGTTTTACACAGGGTCATTATCATCCAAGGGCCTACCTAAAACCAAAGAGAAAAGTCATGGAGAGGGGTAAGTTACTCTTTACTTTTAGGTGGTGTTAAAGCTGCAAGTTATTTTAGGATTAGCCTACCCCCAGGCTGGATAATTCTGTTTTTAATGCCAAGTTCTTTTGTGGGAATTTTTTTTTTCCCTTCTGGTGTGTCACAAGGTTTGTACCTGAGTAGGTAAATTCAACCTCAGCCCAACCCAGGTATGTGAAGTAAATGACCTGGAGCAAACCACATGCAGCTAATAAAATAACTTCTGCCTATGGCCTCCCACAAGCAAGGGCAGAAATAAGCCTCCTTCCTCCTCTTTCATTTCTGTCCGCTTTAGAGAGCTACCATGCAGTCATTGATGAAGGGGGAGAGAGGAGTTCTAAATTAATCCTGGTCCTGATTGGTAACAACTCTCCCCCTCAGATTTTGCATAGTTAGTTTTATTTTTATCCTGGACCCAAAGAAAAAAAGAGACATTTGCTCATCTTGTATTGCAAAGCTAATGGCTAAGTATTCATCATCATAAAATAATAATAGCTCACATTTGTAGCACTTTAAAATTTGTTGTGTTTTACATACATTATTACACTTGAGTCTAACAACAACCTTGTGAGACAGGTGCTATTATTATGCCCATTTTATAGATGAGGAAACTAAGGTTCAGAGAGAGAAGTAACTTGCCAAGGGTCACACAGCTAGTGTCAGGGGTAACATTCCAACCCAGATCATAATAGTTCATGCCCAAATAGAAATATTCTTGTGCATATGCCTCTGTCAGGCCTATCTTTGTCTTCTCTGGAGGTGGTATGGCCAGCAGTGGGTCATTTAGGGTATACACAGTTTAGTGACTTTTGGGGTCTAGTTCTCTCTCTCTTTTTTTTAAAGACAATTGGGGTTAAGTGACTTGCCCAGGGTCACACAGCTAGTAAGTGTCAAGTGTTTGGTCTGAGGCCGGATTTGAACTCAGGTCCTCCTGACTTCAGGGCCAGTGCTGTATCCACTATGCCACCTAGCTGCCCCCTGGGGTCTACTTCTCAACTGCATTCCCAAATGTTTGGCCCACTTTATGGTGCCACCAACAGTGCATTAGTGGTCTATCTCAAATATGTGTTAGTTCTGTGATCCTGGATAAGTCACCTAATCTCTCTTGAGCCTTAGTTTTCCTCATCTGTAAAATGGGGATAATAGTGGCACCTACTTCATGGTGTGGTTTTGAATACTGAATGAGATAGTAAAATGCTTTCCAAACCTTAACACACTTTATTTACTTTATAAATATTAACTGTCCTTTTTGGCTGTCAGACCATTATCAGAGAAATTTGTTGTAAAAATTTTTAGACTAGACTAATTTGTATCAGACTATTTTGTTGTTTTCTAAATAGCTTTTCTCATGTAATGAGTCCTTACTCTAGTAGACAGTGGCTTTGGATTTATCAGACAGTGTGTCACTATCTTAGATTGTTTCTTGGTCTTGTTTACCTAATCTGTTCTACTAAACAATTTTGCCATGTTTTAATTAGTACTCAATAGTTTTGATGATTACTACTTTTTTTTTTTTTTTTGGCTAGGCAATGGGGTTAAGTAAGTTGCCCAGAGCCACACAGCTAGTAAGTGTTAAATGTCTGAGGCCAAATTTCACCTTGGGTCGGTGCTCTATCCACTGTGCCACACCCCTTGATGATTACTACTGTTGACACATGATACTTGCTTCTTTGGTTGATGAAAGTGATTACAGTTGTAAATTTTCCTCTTAGGACTTTTTTTGGTTACTTCCTAAAAGTTTCAGTTTGTTGTCTTATGGCTATATTTTTCTTCGATAAAACTCTTTATTCCTTCTATAATTTATTCTTTGTTTCATACTTTTTTAGGATTATGTTATTTAATATTCATTTGTGTTTGAATTCGTTCTTCAAATGTATCTTACTGAGCATAGTTTTTATTCTGTTCTGGTTAGTAAAGAATATGTTTAACATATATGCTTTTCTGTATTTGTTTATGAGTTCTTTCTACCCTAACGATATGGTTGGTTTTGTGGTAAAGCTGCCATACAAAAGTAAGAATTATGTGTATTCTTCATGATGCCCATTTAATAATTACCAAAGGTCTAATATACCTAACTTTTCCAAAATTCTATTCATTCTCTTTCTTGTTTATTTTTCTTTGATTTTTTGTTCCTGAAAGGGTATCATTTTTTTTTTCTGTTTGTTACTCCCTATAATTTAATGAACTTTTGCTTGTTTTATGTACGGTGCTATTTGGTATATATTCATATTTAACACTGATTTCTATTTTATTATCTATTGACTCAGTAAGTATATTGAAGTTTCCTCCTTATTTCTTTTAACTATGTTTTTATTGCCTTATCTGAGATCATGATGACCACCCCTACTTTTTAAAATTCATCTGAAATGTAAAAGATTCAACTCACTCCAACATTTCAACCCCATGTGAATCTTTATGTTTCAAGTGAATTTCTTGTAAGCAATAAGTGGTTGGATTCTGCTTTCTAATCTATACCGCTCACTACCTTCCTGTTTTATGGATAAGTTCATCCTGTTTACATTTGTGGCTCTGATTGATAGTTGTATTTTTCCCTTCCTGATAATCTCTTTTAGTTTTCCTTTCTTTGCTTTCCTTTCCTCCCTTTATAAAATAAAATAAGATGTTGAAAGAAAGGGAATAAAATTCACACTAGTAATCTATAATTAGAGTTGTCTGATCCTGTTCTTCTACCCTTTCTTTCCCGTCCCTCCTCCCCCATCAGTATTCTGTAGTTAAAAGTTTCTTTTGCTTTTGATGATTCCCTTCTCAGTTCTCCCTTTCCTCTGAAACTGCTTTCTCTGCATTCCTATTCTCCCATTGACTTGAATGAATTTTTTTTAACACCAAACTCGTGTGTATGTGTGTGTGTGTGTGTGTGTGTGTGTGTGTGTGTGTGTGTGTGTGTGGTGTTCAATCCTCCTTTGTTTGGGTCAGATAAAAGGGAGGTTCATGCTATGCTTGCTCTCTTTACAACATCCTCCATTTGTGCACACTCTCCTGCTTCTTGTATTTATTTTGCATATTCCTGTATGTGTACATGTTGTTTCCCCGATAGAAGCAAAGCTTTTGAGGGCAGGGACTGTTTCATTTTTGTCTTTGTATCCTTAGTAATACTGTGCTTGGCACATAGTAGCTGTTTAATACATGCATGTTGATTTGGTTGACATCTAGTAGCAAAGTAATACTAAAAGAGCTATGTCGTAGGACTTCTTTGACTAACAAGATTGCAGGAGTTTCTCTATTAGTCTGACTTCAAAACTTATTAAGTAATTTTAGGTTGTTGAATGAAACAAAGATGAGATTGAATTACTCTAAATTGTTTATTCTGTGAAAAACACTATTCTTTATCCTCTGGGAAGCTGCCAAGACGAATTCATTACTGTCTGTGCTCAAAACCCACATTTTCAGTGTTTGTTTCTTTGGGTAGTAGAAAGCAGATTAGTCTAATGTTAGGTTTCTTCCATTGGTGGGTGAGGTACACTCACTGGCAGAAGCTGTAGGAATTCTGATTTAGTCCTAGGAATCCCTGCACACAAAATTTTGGTGAAGCTGGGCCAGTTTTGCATGACCACCTTCTCTTTCAGCAGTAATGGTGGCATAGAAGTAAAAAGAATTACTGTTTGTAGACTAATGCTAAACATGGACTTAACTGTTGATATTCCACATGTGAGCTCCTCCTCCAGTGGCCAACAAGTATACATACTACTTAATCATGTAAATTTCAATGTTTTCACTCCAAATGAAATTACAAGGCACAGGTTGCCATGTGGAAGATTTGCTCACAGGTTCAAAGCAAATAAAGGAGCTGGGACAGGTGGTTTTATTGTGTTTAAAGGAAACCAGAAGCATTTCATGGGACATTTGGTTTCAAGAAATATGCTATAAAAATCATTCCATGTTTTTATGGTCATGTAAGAGATTGTAAATTAAGTCCATAAAAACCAACCAAAAGAGAATATATTGGAAGTGGAGTATCTGGAATTTCTCATCAGGCCATCATTGTGGCTCATGATCAGCCAGTGTCCCTCTACTCTTTGGGTCTCTGAAATCCATTTCACTGTATATTGAGCCTTTACTTATCTAGTAAATCATAGAATTATAGATTTAGACCTGGAAACAACCTTAGAGGTCAAATACTCCAAACCATACTTAAAGCCTTATCTCAACAAGTAGCTTCTGTCTTAAGACTTCCAGGCATGGGGAAGTCACTATTCCCTGAGGTACATCATATTCTAACAGTTATGTATGAAGTCAACGAGGGTATAATGACTTTCTTCTCCTGAGAAGAAACCTACACTACACTATTAAATTTTGTTTCAAGACCATATTGCTAGATCCAAGATGGCATGGTAGCAGGAAGCAAGACAGCTGAGTGTCTCCCCCAAGAAAACTCTTCTAAACATGTATAAGACTGAAATGTACCAGAGTGAATCCTGATGAGGAAAATCCAAGAAAAAGTCATAGGGAAGCAGAAAGGAAGGTCTGCTGACAGTGGGGATGATGTTTGTCCAGGAGTGTTTGACAAGCACTCCACTGAGTATCAGGGCAGCAGGAGGTTCCATACCCATACTGGGGTTCCATGTACGAACTGGTACCAACTGGCAGCTTTGTCAACCACTACTCAGTCCTAAGCCCCAGATGTAGGAACAGGCTACAGAAAGGGACCTGTGCCCAGTTGGGCATTCTGAACTAAGAAAATGCTGCAGGTTCTAGGCTGAGAGGAGGAATTTCAGCAGCAAGCAGTAGCGGTATGACTCTAACACCAGGAACAGAGCTGTGTTTAAGTTCCAGCTGCAGAGGAATAACCAGGGCAGTAATCCTAGACCAAAGGGAATCTTTCAGTTCTATCACTTAGAACTAGCCGTGCTTTCCAGCTATCTGATGGTGACTGTGTTAAGCAACAGTTGGTCTACCGTTGCTCAGAACCAAACGTAGGTCAGGAACTGGGAGATCTCAGACCTGAGGAGTAGTAATCATACTATGCCCTGG